AAACCTATATCGAATCTAAAGCGAAGCAAAGCAGTGGGACTTAATGGTATTATTCCAAATGTGTTCAAAAATGTTGGTGATGAAGTAATGAATAGGTTAGCCAAAATATTAGATAATGAGTGGGAATGTGAGATATGTCCGTTGGAATGGTGCAAATTATTGCTTGTCCCAGTTCTGTGATAATCATAAAGGCATCAACTTGGTAAACATGACATCTAAATTACAGGTTTCATTAATCCTGCGTAGAATAAGTAGTGCTCGTCAGAAGCACACCCGTGAAAACCAGGCATGTTTTCGGCCCTGTTGAGCCTGTATTGTTTATATCATCACTCTGTTTTATGTTCTTGAACATAGGTATTACCACCGTCCAACACTACATATTTCTTAAATGTGGCGATCATTCCTTGTCCAGAGACAAAACGATTTGAGTTTCACCTGATAGACACACTAAAAATCACATAGACCTCATCTCACTCTGAAGAAGGTGGAAACGAAGCCTGATGAACAAAACCTCGAGAAGGGGAGCAGATGTGGCTTGAGACCGTTATCTAGTGCAAGGATCCTTCAACGTAAAGCTGAAAGCCTTCAAAGATGCTGGAGACAGACAGAAATTCAAGTTAAACACTCTGAAACTGAAGGATGAAACTACAAAAGACATCTTCGATACAGCCATCAGAACAAAGCAGGAGGTATTCAGTAGTATCGTCGAGGTAACTAGTGCGGAAAAACATTGAAACTAGTTGAAGGTGATGTGTACAACCATTTTAGGGAGATAGGAGAGGCAAGAAAGGGAATGGTTCAATAAAGACAGCTGCAACCTGATAGAGGAGATAGATATGGTGAAACGGAAGGTCAACCAGTACTAAGATTGACAACAGAAGGAGAAACTGAGTTCAGTGTACAACACACTGAATAAAGAAGTGAAGAAGAGTGCAAAGGAAGACAAAAGACAGTTATTCAACACACTGGAAACTGTAGCAGAACAGGCTGCAGGTAGAAGAGATCTCGGAATATTATATCAGATAACCAGGTCTCTATCTGGGAAGAGGTCAACACAGATGAAACCAACGAAAGATGTTGAAGAGAAGCTAATTACCAAAGAGAAGGACAATAAGCTGGTCACTTTAAAGGACTCCTTAGCCGATCACCACATTCAACTTGTCCACAAATACCACCAACAGCATGCACACAACTGCTTGCCAGTGGACGAAAATCCTCTTACAAAAACAAAAGCCTTGGATGGAATCAAGCTAACGAAAGCCAATCAGGAAGGCAGCTGGATCAGACGGAATTCCTCTGTAAGCACTGGAAACTGAGGCAGAGACAGCAGCGGATATGCTCACGCCACTATTGCAAGACGTTTGGAAGGAAAGAAATTTACCTACTGATTGGAAGAAAGGCTACCTTGTCAAGCTACCAAAGAACGGCGACTCAGACTTCTACAAGAACTGACAAGGAATCATGCTCTTCTCCACGCCAAGTAAAGTATTAATTCTCGTCATCCTGGGAAACTGAGGGATGCTCTGAATGCAGAACTCCAACCGGAACAAGCTGGATCCAGGAAAAGTAAATCATGTGCAGATCAACTTGCAGCGCTGCGCATCACTATCGAACAGAGCATGGAATGGCAGCCAAACCTCTGCCTCAGCTTCATTGACTTTGAAAAAGCGTCCGACAGCATTGACCGTAAATTAATTTGGAAACTACTTCAACACTACGAAGTACGCGAAATCTTTATCAACCTCATTCAACGACTAAGTGACAATGTCGCATGTCAAGTGATCCATAAAGGAAAACTCAGTGAAGGGTTTGAAGTGAAGACAGGAATAAGACAAGCTGGCTGCAAAATATCACTGATGATATTCCTAATTATGGTGGATTGGATTATGATGGAGACTGTATAAATTGAGAAGACAGAAATGCGTTGGAATATCTGGACTTCGGTGACGATTTATGTCTAATTCCTCACAAACTCGAAGACTTACAGACGGAAACCAACAAGTTAGTAGAAGAAGCAGTAGAGACAGGACCTCAAATAAACATGGGAAAGACGGAGATGAAGAAGATAACCAACCAAAAAGAACAAGCAATAATCACCACCAACGGGACAAACCTAAAGGAAGACACTTCTTTCGCGTATCTATGTAGTATCTTTTCAATTAAAGGTGGCACGAATGAAAATGTTAAAGTAGGGATGAGAAAAGCAAGGCATACATTCAGTACTGTGAAATCAATCTAGAAGTCTACTGCAAACAGTTTATAACAAACAAGACTTGGAGTTTTAAAACTAATATCAAGTCAGCACTTTTACATGGTTCAGAGACTTGGTGCATCATGGAAAGCATTTCCAAAAGGTTGCAGACTTTTATCGGCACCTGTCTTCACTCGGTAGCAAAGATTAGATGGCCGGAAATAGTAAGCAACAGGGAACTTTACTAACAAAGCAACCAAAAACATATCCCCCAATAAATATGCTGACGGGGATGGAGATGGACTGAACATACTTTGAGAAAACCATTGAGTGGCATTGCGCACCAGGATCTCCTGTGGAACCCGAATGGCAAACGGCGAGTGGAGAGCACGAGAGTGACATGTAGGAGATTGTGTGAATAGGAAATGAGAGCTCATGAGTAGTCATGAATCCATCCATGCAGAAAACAGGATGAAATGGAGATGTGCTACTGAAACCTGAAGTCCCACTCAGAACCCGAGGGAATAATGAAAATATTGAGGTGAAGCGTAAAGTTAGATAGAATATCAAGTCAATCGATCAGATTGTGAAGATACATCGATTGAGATGGCTAGGACACGTGTCACGTATGCTGAGCCTCCACCTTCCTCGGAGACCAATGTTAGCTGACATAGGATTGGGTTGGAAAAGAGTTAGGAGTGAGTGGTCAAGTCAAAATGTGACATTAATCCATGAAGTCATTGACAGCTGATTTGAACTACATACGGAGATGTAGGCTGACTGATGAAAGGGGGTGGTCCTCGTGATGCTAAGAACCAGTGGTTGAAGACTATTGCTGATATGGCTCTAAACCACTCCTAGTAGCGCAGATTAATTCACCCTCTGTGATACCCCATATCCATTAAACCATTATGTTTCTCCATTTTACTATTTCTTTTCGCTCACATTTCTGCTAATTCTTATAGTGCTTTTAAGTCTGTTTTTCCCTCCTTTGTGTGGTATATGGAGTGTAGCAACTTGAACTGCTGCCGTTTTGTGCAAAGTCCTATGTCGAAACTCAGTCAGTCATGAACACCTTACCGTTGCCAGGTAAGTTAGAAGTTTTGGAGTCATCTCTGTCTAACAATGGAGGTAGGGTTGCTGACTTGCTAATGGCTCGAAGGAAACATGTTGCTGACGGTACATACATATTCGCCAGCAGAAGAATTCAGTTCGAACCCTCCTCCGCTACACACTGTAGGCAGCTTACACGTGGTGATAATTGGTTTTCTCGAACCGCTGTGCAAACGAACGTTCCGGAATGGTAAGAACTGCAGAACAGCCGGTGTGGCTCTTTGGGATATTGTGACATGAGGACCATACCAGCGCATGGGGTAGCGACTTTCAAGTGGGCACACTGTTCTACCATCAGGGTTCCCACCGTTGGCATTATCCCCATTTCATTCCATTTTCGGAATGAATAGTTGGTCTGTTAGGCAGTACACTGATCGATAACGTCAAAGAGTGGTAGAAATATTATTGGAACGTCCAGCTACAGATTCTTGTGTTACGTTTTAAGCCAAACCTCACTACATAAATAAAGTAGTACCACTCCGGTATTCCGAAATGAAATAATGAAAGTTTAAACCCACGACCTACGGCTTGAACAAATGAGCCACTCTCACATGTAGGATGACATATTACCATCAACAAAGTAACTGGTTTTGATTGCCGATATCACTCACTTTCGGACAGGTTTGTGGAAACTGAAAAAGTATTTTATCAGAGTTAACGTATAGCAAACGTGTTTACTTTTCAATTAGGTCCTTTTGGGAGCCTCGGTGTGACTCTACCTGTAGGCCTGATTACTCCATATAACCCTTGTAGGATGATAACTTGTTGTTCAGGCCTTTTTAATGACTCAGTTCGTTGTTTCTCAATCTTTTTAGTTGGGTCAGCAGAAGTTGAATTGTTTTTTTCAATTTTCGATGGTAATTCTGTATGCTAATCATCTAATCTACGTATTCCGTCTTATTCATGATTAGTACTCTAGAACCTTGGTCAGGTTTAGTAATTATTAAATTCTCTTTTTTCCGTAGCTTATTTAAGGCTTCCCTTTGTTTCCTGGTCAATAGAATATCTGACTTCTGTTTGCTTTTCATATATTTATAGCAACGATCGACATAGGTTGACTTAAATCTCCCAATGGATAAAGGTATCAATTCTTCAATCTGCGTGTGGAGGTTGTCAAACTGAACTTGCATATCCATTTCATTGATTCTAACACGATTGTCAAAAAACTTAGCTCTAAGGGATAATACCTGGAAATCTGTTTCCTCAAGAACAGCATCCGAAAAATTATGAACGTACCTAACAAGGCTTGAAGGAAATCGCATTTCGGGAGTTAGGTTTCTGAGACTTTGTTGTGATATTTTGGCACGCTTTTTTCTTTCCCTTTACCGGCAATTTGATTTACATAGTCCAGAAAAGGTTTCTTTAAGTGCTATGGGAGTTCATCCACAGCAATAGAATCTTTCTGCAACGTTCTTCGATACTACATGATTGAAGCGAATCAATCTGATTCAGTGTATAGCGTTTGAAGATAGAGTTCAAAACACGTTTCTGTTTTCTATAGGAATTTTACAACTTTAAGCAGAAGTGGTTTTGGAAGCATGCAAAATTAATGACTTCAACGACAAGACTTTATTTTTCAAAGAATAGTATTATATTATATGTACATATTTCAAATCTGTCAAGGGAAATAACTGTATGGAGTATATATATACACGAAGAAAATATATACTTCTATATGTGGAATATGTGTAAGTTATTATGTACATTTGACAGTTTTCACTAAATTTTGACGTAAGTAACCATCTGTTTTACGTGATAAAGGCAAGACTAATTTTGATAACACATCCAAAATTCCGGAGCCAATGAATGCATTCTCACGATTACTGTTAGCCCATGTATCTGGAAATTCATTTGTACCACATTCGTTGTTCTCACTAGACTCTTCATTTGAATTATTTATTGTTAAATGTTTAAGTAAATCATTCCCAAAGTATGTTCGACTAATCCCTGTGTTTCGCAATAATTCGAGACCACTAGAGCGCTTCCGTAATGGGATCTAGAGTAAAACAAGCAGAAAAACTCAGTCAATAATTCTGTAATTAAAAATACTGGGGAAATTATTTAGAGAAAAACACTTATATTCTCTTTATCATCAAAGGTCCAAGTTAAGTGGTACTAAGACTGAACTACGACGTTGCAAAAGCATTACTCTAAGAGAAGGCGTTGTAAATCAGCAATAAATAAATTCATATGAAGACCTCAATATCACTTGGTCTAGAAAACCGATTCACAACTAGTACGTCGGCCACCGATGTTAGCTGGGAGAGTTAAGGATGGTCAAAAAAAACAACGTCAACTCATGAAGTCTTGAATTGTAGGTATGAGTCACGTAATTAGGTTTACGCATTATCAGAATACTAAGAATCAATGGTTGGAAACTATTGGTGGTATGTCTAAAAACAACAGATGCACTCACTTTATCATTCTTCATATTCAGAATGTCTTCACTAGTCTTTATTGTGAAATAATTACTCTATTTCTCATATTTCATGTGATGTTAAGAAATATACAACTTTAACTGATCCACTGATTTGCGATTCGCAGATTTGACTTCTGTTCAGTCAGGCAATGTTCACAACCAGAATGATAGTCTTGGCAGGGTTTGAAGAACTCGGAGACCAGATTTGTGTGAATTATTTTACTGAGGTTTTCTTTTCAAAGTAATTTTTGTCACGATTGATATTAGGGAACACTGAACTGCGACTGCAACCTTAAATAAGACTGTCTAGGATCTACAGATCATGCAGTAAACAATTAAGTGATTATAAGTGTCTCCAAATTTTCCAATAATACTTAATATATGAGATTTGATCAATTTCATATTACGCTAATAAGTCAACCATATTCTTAAATTGTGTTTTGTGCTCATAAACATTGTAAACCAATCTTCAGCCTATCGGTTTGCATTTAACAAAAGAAACATCAGTGAAAGATAGAAGGCTGTTTCAAACAGAAAATAACTGAATTTAATGACACAGTAGATTACTATTATTGCTTTACTTAAAATCACTATACAAGGAGAAGATATTTTGCAACAATATCTATGGAGCATTTTGTAATTGTACACTTCTTCTTAGAAGAAAGTAAAAAGGATACGACTAAGCACAAGTCCAATGCTTTTCAGTCTCTAGTGGGTTTCTAGTCCAAGTCAGTCAGAACAATAAATCCGAACATTTCCCTTTTTTCATATACTACTTTAAAACTTTACAAGAAAATTCATTTAGAATAATGAAGACAGAGAAACCTCTATAACTAGGAATATTAAGGAATTGACTTCAAAATATACTTACAATATCCCGATGCCCTATGCCAGAGATATAAGCTCCAACACATTGAACATAGTCTTGTTCATCTAATTTACTGTCTACTGAAATCGATTTTTGTGCAGCTGATTCGATTAATTCTTGCCACAGTGTATATAGATTATCATCCGATTTTGTTGATCCTAACATATTGATTTCAGACTGATCAATTGCATTTGCTGAATGCTCTCCTTCAAGCTCAATAGGATCACTTAAATCATTTATGTCCCAATTTTCTGGACCTGACATTTGTTGCCTGATCTGCGTCGACAAGGTCTCTAAAGTATCCACAGTGATCGTAACATCTGATTTGCTTTGAAGAATGTTACCATCTTTTTCAGCTTCTTCGGTATATAACTGCACTGAATTTGGATAATTATTATTAATAGTATAATTATAACTTGATAACTCAGATTTATCTGTTGTTTCGTTAATTTCGGGTGAAAAATTAATTATAGATGATGGAAGTAATGAATCTAACTCAGTATCTGAAACATCTTCGCACTTTAGTTCATCTAAGAATTCACAAAGAGCCTGTATCTTCTGTTCGGTATCATTAGAAATATAAAGAATAGGAGGCGACTCTGACAAACGATGAGTGGACTCCGAATGGATTGATGCAGTATTTGCAGGTTTTGGATTTGTACTTTCCGGATCTAGAACTTCATACGTACCTCCTCGTGCATCTCGCTTTTGAGCTGGAGAAATATGCACATCTGATTGACTTTTGGCTACCTGCATTAATTAATCATAATAAATAAAACAATAATCAAAACAGACACGAAATAAATAGATCGAATTTCAAAAGATTATGGAACGACAGAACATACTCCACTGTTGCTTTACGGTCACGTTATTTTGAAGTATCAGTCACTGTTATTAATTTTTGAAATGTCCACGTTAGGACAGAACTTCAAACAGGAAAAAATTTAATCCAAATGACCAATAAAGTACATAGTAATTCAAAAATATACGACTGAGTCAATACAATCTTCATCATTTTGCATATATTGAAGTAATATCTTCTAATAAACAAATCAGAGTGAAATTACAAACTAACACACAACATTAAGTAATATCTACACACACTCAACCACTACTTTCTAGAGCTAATCCAAGTTACGTAGTCAACATACCTAATCAGTTGAAAAAAGTGGTCAAATGTTGTCAGGTTATTATTTGTTGCACCCACATTTATTACAGATACAACGCTTCGAAGACACCTGTGACTCAAAACCAGCTACCTATCATCAGCAACTATATTTTACTGTCTGTCTGCTTTCAACAAAGAACATTTCACCGGTGTGCAGCAGTTCAAGTCGCCACACTTCACTCAGCACACAAAGCAAGAGAAGAAGAAGAAGAAAGTAAAAAGAAGCACAAAGTAGAGAGAGTAAAGAGAGATATGAGGTAAAAAAAAAGTAATATCGAAGTACAATATAGTTTTATTGGGCATTATAAGTCAAAAGGAGTGGATGCATCTGCGCCAGCCATTTAGAACGATTTTGAGCCAAATCACCAATTGTTTCCAACCATTGGTGTTTACCGTCTCGAGGACCTCAACCAGGAAGTATACATCTTTCCACGTGGCTTAAACTAACTGTTGTGGATTTCATTGGTTTGACCAACACTGGCTCTCTTCCAACCTGACCCTATATCAGCTAATATTGTCCGTCGAGGAAGGCGATGGATGGCTAGGCATGCGTAACACATGTCCTGACCATTTCAGTCAATGTAGCTTCACAGCTTCGTCGATTGATTTCCCCTCCCTCTTTACCTAGCACTCGACCAATGCCTAACCTCAATATTGCTCACCCTATTATACCACTTCACACGGGGGATAGAACGCAGGCACGTATGATCAAAGACAGCTAGCCTTTTCATGTCTTCTCAATGATCAGGTCTCACGGCCATAAAGGAGGATGGAGCGAACTGATGAGCAGTACACTCGCCCTTTGGTCGATAGCCGGATATAACGTTTACGCCAGAGATGGCGTAAACTGGAATATGCGGAACTAGCCCTCTGTATCGATGCAGAGATTTTGTCAGAGATCAACTCGTTGGGGCTGATGCAACTTCCCAAATAAGTGAAGCGGTTAACGTGCTCTACCGATTCACTCCCTATTTCTAAGTTAGGAGTCAATGCAATCCAGTCCTGTAACATCATCTTACATTTGGAAGGAGCGAACCGCATGCCAAACATTCGCAGATTGCTGCCTGTCAAGGTGTTCAGAAGACTGCATTTTGTCAGCATCTTCACCTAGACGGACTATAACATCTGCATATTCTAAGTCAACGAGGTTATTTCCTGGCAGCAAATCAATCCCTGATTCTCTGCAGTGAGTTAGGGTTAAGTCCATCAATATATCTATAATGAAATTGAATAGAAACGGGGATAATGGACATCCCAGACGGACACCACTAGTTGTCACCACTTCAGATGACAACTCGCCGTAAGCTCTCACCTAGCTGTCTGCGTGAGTTCGAGTAGAGTGCTTTGGTTAATGCAATGTATTATCTCCGCATTCCCTTCACAGACAAACGTCGCCATAGTACCTCTCAGTCGACAGAATCGAATGTCGCTTTCAGGTCAAGAAATATGACGATTGTTAGACGGCGGTAGGTATGTCTATGTTCCAGAATCTGTTGAATGGTGAAGATATAATAATAATTTGCTTTATTTCAAAACAGTACTTGTGATACATAATGGAATTCTCAGCATGATCAATATGCCTTCTTCCTCGTCTAAAGCCTGACTGGTTCTTTTGTCCTAGTTCCTCCCAAGAACCACTTAGTCTACGCATGATTATTGAGCTTAGAACTTTAGATATCATATTGACTAAGCTAATCTCCCTGTGATTATCGCAAGAAGACTTGTCTCCTTTCTTGGATATCGGGATAATCAATGGCTTACACTAAGTAGACGGGACCATGTCTGATTCCCAGACGCAGATAGTAAACTGTTTCCACCGTACTTAAATACTTCTGGAGTTATTCCATCGGGTCCTGCTGCTTCGCCTCGTTTCAGACTAGTGACAGCCTTAGTAACCTCAGTTAAGGACGGAGGACCTGTGTCTATATCCCATTCAGGGAGGTGTTGGATGTTCGGTAGGTTGAGTGTGGCTGCAGGCCAATTAAACTGCTCCTCAAAGTGTTCTTTCCAGCGTTCCAGTCGTCTACCCTGGAAGCTAATTATAGTGCCATTTTTCTCAGAGATTGTTTCACTTATCATTTGCCTTTTACCACCTGTTTCCCTGATAAGTATAAATAGTTGACTGGTGTTACCAACTGCCGATGCCTTTTCCATCTCTTTCACTTTTGTCGCCCACCACTGTCGTTACGAAAACTTCTTGTTAGTTTGTGTTTGAGTAGCTTTCGCTCCTCGTCATAATCGGAGCTCGCCGGAATCAGTCTTCTTGCGTCAATCAGTTCGGATGAGGTGGTAGAGATCGAATGGCTCTTACTAACTTTTGGTTTTAGGTTACTAACAGCTTTTATAGCTGTGTCTACAGCTAACTGTATGTTATGCCAGGCTACCTCAGGGGAAGTCCTGCTGTCGACCTCAGATACACGTTTCGCTATTTCCTCCTTGAATAGGGACTCAGTATCTCGATCTAGTTGGGGACGTAACTGTTTCACTACCAGCAATTTCTTATGTCTGTTTAGTCGTAAGAATGAACGTGAGCGAACCAGTGTGTGATTATAGTCTACGTATGTGTTCCAGGAGTGGCAGTCTTTTACTGACCCTCGACAACGATACCCTATGGCTGTGGTCTATCTGAGTCCAGTGATGATTTGGTGATGGTGGTCGCAAGGTTACGCAGTCTCTCTCTTTGTGCCTAAAGTTAGTGCTGATTAGGAACAGATGATTATCTGAGCAGAATTGTAGAAGATAATCACTGTTGGCGGTTCGCCGGCAGGGAACTCCATACCTACCACTTACATACTTCTCGGTCTGGTTTCAGGTAGAAGTCATCCTTTAGTACATCCGAACTGCAGTATGTTGGGGCGTAAGCGGAGACTACCAAGAGACAACGACGGTTGACGCCGTCCTTCCTTCTTCTAACGGACCCGTTCAGGCGAACCGCACACACACAACTATCTACTGGGATCCAGTCAAGAAGTGATTTTTCTGCCCTGACACTCAATGCTATCCCTACACCTGAGTCCTCACGAACTAGCTGAGGGGTCTCCTAACACCCTTGAAGTGAATTTTGCAGATTCACCTTGTCGGTTGGGTGAGGTCAAGTGAATGACCACACTCGGGTCTTGTATGCGTGTCTCCAAAAGAGAACATACATCCATGGCTCAAGATGCCAGAGTTCTTGTTAGTGATGCCTGTTGTTCGATTTGGCAGAGGGTCCTGACATTAAATGCTCCTATATGAAGTTGTAGACGTGGCTTTAAGAGGCTGTCGGGGGGTGTTTCTATGGCTCTCATCGTTGTTTGTGTTCACAGAGGGAAGTGAAGATGACTCCCTAGCCTGAAGAATAGTACTAAGTGTAGTAGGGAAATAAGATGATGAAGGTGATGTGAGTAAAGGAGAATGATGTTCAGGAAGGCTTTGTGTGCTTTTGGAAGTGTGTGGGCAGTTGTTACTTCCCGGCTGCCCACACCGTGGAAGTTGATCGATTCTTCGGATACCTGAAACAGAAAGAGGGTTATTGTTGCGTGACCACAGAGCCCAGTGTGAGGCCAGTCACACACGGCCTGTATGAACTGGTTTCTTGGTTTGGTTCCGTATTAGCAAACTTACCGCCGGTTACGGGCCACCATAGGGTAAGTCGGAATGTACAATTTTTGGTGTTTATCAAGTGAATAGTTGCGCGTTACACTCGTAAATTATACAGACGGTGTAGGTGACTTAAATACAGCCTTTGAATTAAACAACGTAGACATTATTGTGTGAATCTATCGTCAAAATAATGAAAAATTAAAATTTGAACATATTTTTGTTTGTCTGAAATGTGTCTGCTTTTCTACAAGTGCGTTTCCTAAAAACTAGTTGCACGGCGAACAACTACAAGTCCCATAGATTTAGAGAATATGTTCATTAGATAGATCTATCTGTAGCTGTTACAGAATTTTAATTTTTATACGCCACATAGATCAAGATTCAGAACGACCCGTACTTTAGTTCAGCTACCAAATATTTTTCGACCATGTTTAAAAACTTTTGAGGTAAAAACATTTGGCCTAAAGGAACTGTTCTGCTTAAAGTGTGCAGCAGCCGTATGACTTTCGCCATGTTATTGACAAGATGTCCATTTTCAACTAAGATGTTGTTATCCGTAGGACAGTTGAGCTACTTGCCATTATTCTGTTTGCCTACCTTGAGACACTGGTGGTTGTACAGCTAAGAAGATGAATTCGCCGAAAAGAGACTCTTCGCTGATCTACGTGTTTTGTTTTCATTGATCCATTTTCATCAAAACCACACTATAAAGAAACCTAACTTCATTGTTTTATGAAGCCTAAATGGCTTTATTGATATAAGAGCAGAATCTCGGCATTATGGTAGACTATAATTCCATAAAAGAGTACTTTTAGTGGATAAAGTACACAGTAGTACATAATTATTTATTTACTGATAACGCTACTTACTTGCCGCCGTGTCGAAAGCTGCCGAGATCCAATATTTGCATCAGTTCGTTTTGAACCTTTAGGCGATGGTGATAACGACTCAACATCTTCATGTAAATCATATTGATGGCTTCCGCTACTGCGCCTTCTGGTGCTATGTGAGTCTCGTGTAGGACGACGATCATGACGTTTTAGATAACGACTTTTACGCATATCATTGCGGTCATCAGGACTATAGTATCTGGACTTCCTTTTAGAAGGATGTGAGCGTGAATGGCTATACTTCTTTTCATCTGGACGATGTGTTTTTCGAGATTCGTATCTTTCAGAATCGCTACTTCTTTCCCTATATGAAGCGCGACGTTTCGAACGAGATCTACGACGTGGAGATATATGGCGACGCTGTGTTGATTGACGATACCCATAACTTAAAGAAGCTGAATCTTTTTTCTTTGACTTTGAGGGTGGACTGACAGACTGACGAGCTCTTTTCGCTGTAGCAGAATTTCCTTCAAGTTTAGTATCTTGGTGATTATTTGTAAGCCGTGAAGAGTCAGTTTTACGATCACGATTAAAATGCGTTGAGGGGGATCGACTATTTTTATTGTGTTTCTGTTTATATGACTTTTCATTAGAATGCTCATCATGAACCAGACGTTTCTTATGCTTTCTGGGGCTAAATGACGACTGACTATATGAAGATTCTGAAGCATCTGAGGAACATGTAGAAGCTGATGACGGTGTGTTTGGAACAGATTCATAAGCAGAATGCACACGCATATCCACTTCATAGCTTTTCTCTCTAGCAACCTTACGACTAGCGTCCTCACGAACGACTGGTTTTGTAGAGTGATGAGGCTTTTCATCTGTTGCTGAAGCCTTTGATACACTACTTGCTCTGTGTGATTTATCTCGATGCTTCTGTTTGCGAGGAGATTCTTTGACAGGTGACGCATCCGCTGTTAATTCAGAGTTAAATTCATCACGCTTGCTATGCTTTTCATGTTTGGATTCATTCTTTGAATGTTTTCTTTTTTTCTTGCTATGGTCACGTTTGTATTGATCAATTATAGCTTCTTTATCGAGCGATTCTCCTTTACTTCCACTATCCGACTGGATTACGTCTGAGGGCAATTTGGAATCGACAAGACTTAAGGATTCACTATGATTTTTTGTATGCTTTGCTTTTGAACGTCTTTCTTTTTCGCCTGAGGAACCATTCACTGTAGTTTTTTTCGAATGATGGTTAGACTTTTTGGTTAGTTCTGAGGTTGAGGTATTTTCAACATCCTTCAAATTGGATGCTTCGTGGACAGACGGTTGGTCATCTGGACAAACAGAATCAGTTTGTCGGGGCATCTCACGAATGTTCAGTACCTACAAAATATGTCGAGTAGTGAGCAGGATAAATTATTACGATTATCAAAGAAACTCCCACCAAATCTGACAATGTACGAAAATATAATACTAGCCTTATATACGACAATATGAGTAGCTCACAATGTCAGCAATTCTTATAGAACACGATTATTGCGACAACAATATTTCTGTCTAGATTGATAAGTAAAACACTTATTTTTGTGAGAAGAGATAAGGAACACCTTAACAGTAAACCTTCGATTCTAACTCTTGAAGCCGTCTCACTGAGCTTCAACATAGTCTGTCTGTCTGCTTTCAACAAAGAACATTTCACCGGTGTGCAGCAGTTCAAGTCGCCACACTTCACTCAGCACACAAAGCAAGAGAAGAAGAAGAAGAAAGTAAAAAGAAGCACAAAGTAGAGAGAGTAAAGAGAGATATGAGGTAAAAAAAAGTAATATCGAAGTACAATATAGTTTTATTGGGCATTATAAGTCAAAAGGAGTGGATGCATCTGCGCCAGCCATTTAGAACGATTTTGAGCCAAATCACCAATTGTTTCCAACCATTGGTGTTTACCGTCTCGAGGACCTCAACCAGGAAGTATACATCTTTCCACGTGGCTTAAACTAACTGTTGTGGATTTCATTGGTTTGACCAACACTGGCTCTCTTCCAACCTGACCCTATATCAGCTAATATTGTCCGTCGAGGAAGGCGATGGATGGCTAGGCATGCGTAACACATGTCCTGACCATTTCAGTCAATGTAGCTTCACAGCTTCGTCGATTGATTTCCCCTCCCTCTTTACCTAGCACTCGACCAATGCCTAACCTCAATATTGCTCACCCTATTATACCACTTCACACGGGGGATAGAACGCAGGCACGTATGATCAAAGACAGCTAGCCTTTTCATGTCTTCTCAATGATCAGGTCTCACGGCCATAAAGGAGGATGGAGCGAACTGATGAGCAGTACACTCGCCCTTTGGTCGATAGCCGGATATAACGTTTACGCCAGAGATGGCGTAAACTGGAATATGCGGAACTAGCCCTCTGTATCGATGCAGAGATTTTGTCAGAGATCAACTCGTTGGGGCTGATGCAACTTCCCAAATAAGTGAAGCGGTTAACGTGCTCTACCGATTCACTCCCTATTTCTAAGTTAGGAGTCAATGCAATCCAGTCCTGTAACATCATCTTACATTTGGAAGGAGCGAACCGCATGCCAAACATTCGCAGATTGCTGCCTGTCAAGGTGTTCAGAAGACTGCATTTTGTCAGCATCTTCACCTAGACGGACTATATCATCTGCATATTCTAAGTCAACGAGGTTATTTCCTGACAGCAAATCAATCCCTGATTCTCTGAATTGAGTTAGGGTTAAGTCCATTAGTAGTTTCAGTATAGGGTTTTGCACAAAACTGCAGCAGTTCAAGCTGCTACACTCCATATACCACACAAAGGAGGGAAAAACAGACTTAAAAGCACTATAATAATAAGCAGAAATGTGAGCGAAAAGAAATAGTAAAATGGAGAAACATAATGGTTTAATGGATATGGGGTATCACAGAGGGTGGATTAATTTACCCTACTAGGAGTGGTTTAGAGCCATATCAGCAATAGTCTTCAACCACTGGTTCTTAGCATCACGAGGACCACCCCCCTTTCATCAGTCAGCCTACATCTCCGTATGTAGTCCAAATCAGCTGTCAATGACTTCATGGATTTATGTCACATTTTGACTTGACCACTCACTCCTAACTCTTTTCCAACCCAATCCTATGTCAGCTAACATTGGTCTCCGAGGAAGGTGGAGGCTCAGCATACGTGACACGTGTCCCAGCCATCTCAATCGATGTATCTTCACAACCTGATCGATTGACTTGATATTCTATCTAACTTTACGCTTCACCTCAAATATCAGTCAGTATTTTATACCACGGGAATAGAACATATTTGGTCGAAGACAGCTAGCTCCCTCATATCTCCCAATTTCAATAGCCACATATCACAGACATAAAGGAGGACAGACCGAACTGCCGCGTAGTACATATGTCTTTTAATCGATAGCCAGATATTTTTATTTATTTATTTTGATTACAGCTTGATGCCACACCGTATTTTCAATACAAGTATGATATTTTCAGCATGGATATCGGTAGCCCAAATTTTGCAGGCCGACCATAGACATCGGGTGTGCGTCGGTAGGGGTTCGAACCCCGGTTCATGTGCATGGTCGACGAGAGTCCTAACCACTGTGCCACCGACGCACAGACAGAGATAATGTAAACTGGCAAATGCCACACCAGCCTTTTGTATCCATGCTGAGATTTCGTCAGCTTCAAGTTCGTTGGGACAGATAGAAATTCCAAAATAAGTGAAGTAGTCAGCGCATTCTACTTCCTATTATTAAGCTAGCAATCAGTGTAGATAGAACTGGTGTAGCATTTAATAATAGCGAATTGCATGCCAAATATTCGAAAACTTCTGCTCCAAACAATAAAACAATAACTCTCATCTCAGACTAGCACAACTTCCCTCCTTGAATTCGCCTGTTAAGACGGCTATACATGGGTGTTTTGCTTTCAGCAGCAAATTAGACAGTTTTTACAGAGTTCGTCCTTCATTTTGTTTGAACTGCAGTCTGTTCGAGTGTAAGTGGAGATTATCAGAAGATATCTGTGGGTATCGCGATATTTCCCTTTTCTAATGTATCCTTACAACCAGTCAGCATACATACTACTATTCACTCTGAGATCTAGTAAATTAGGGTTTTTTCTGCCATAGCGCTCAATGCTATTCCTACGTCTCTGACTCCTGAAGGACTTTCCTTATACCCATAAGGTGAATTTCGAAGATTCATCCTGTTTGCCAGGTGAGGTTAGATGAATAACAACACGGGCCTTGTATGCAAGTCTTCGAAATGCAACACATCCATGGTTCATTAAATCAGAGTTTTGCCTAGTGAAGCCTGTTATCCGACTCAGTAAATAGTTCTAACGTTTAGTGCTCCGATACGAAGTTGAAAGTGTGATTTTTAAGAGACAATAATGTTTTCCGGCTTTCGTAGGTATCAATCGTTGCAGAATTAGATGAGGGACTTGGCTTTTAGACAGTAATACTGGGAAGAGGAAAGCAAGATGATAGTAGTGGAGGTTAAAGCGAGTGATGGTCAAGAAAGCTTCGTGTGCTTATGGAAGTGTGTGGGCGGTTCTTACTATTCGGCTGCCCACACCATCAGTTGGTTTCCCCTCGCAGCACCTGAAACAGAAAGAGCACTAGTGTTGCGTGACCGCAGAACCCAGGGGACAACTGCTTGGGGCCGCTCACACAAGGCCTGTTAGAGGTGGTCTTTGAAGTTGTATCCATATTAGGATCATACCGCTGACTATGGGTCGGCTCAAGGTAAGTCTGGATTTACAGTTTTTGGGACCGACGTTTTCTAACCCTACCTTCTCCAAGGCGGAGAGGCATAATAGCTAGGATGCTGGTCTTCAGAAGGAAACATCCTAGTCCTATTGCATCTCTATTCCCAAACGGCACGACATTACCCACAAACCCGTAACATAGTGTAAACAACTTACACTGTGACGGTAACTGCCTTTAGTCTAATCGGCATCCAAACAAACTCCCTAGCATGGTAAGACCTGCAGGAACGTTAGTTCCAGTTAGTGTGACTCGTTGGGTCACTGCATTATGAAACCCTGACCCCTAACTTAAAAAGCCATATCCCTACCCAACAGTATAGATTTGCAAAAGAAGTACCTAGTAAACAACTAGAATACTGTACTATCCTTTTCAGGTTTAAAAGGCAGACATGATTTGATTTACAATGACATTTTAAGGCAGCTCTAATCAGCTCTTAATGGTCAATTTTTGAAAGACCTTGACATTGGCTATGATACTTAAAATTCGCCCAGTTATGTCTTGTGCTGGCACTAAATTTTTCCTGGAGTAACAATGGACGGGTGATGTTAGACTACAGCAAAACATCTGTCATAGATTCTCTTAGAGAGTTCTAAGAAGACTGAATGTTTAACTGAAATATGTCCCAGTTCCTCACACGCTTTCGACAAAATAAATCAATTTCTAAATATGCATTTATCTGAAAAGTTCAACAGTCTGATTGGTTGCTGATGCTGGACCTGGAGTATGGTATGTATTCTTTAGAGTTGACCGAGGTAGATTAACGAACAGAATTAAAAACACAAAAAGACCTCATAACTCTATTATCAACAGTCATCTTTAAAATTTTGTGAGTTTTACCACCCATTGATTTTCATCAGCTGCTGGACGTCAGTGGTAAAATGATCAGGGTGGGTGCATTTTAAACTTCGCCAATTACTGTATAACCAAGTTTACAATGCCAAACTAACCCTAAACTATGCGTCGGTAATGCTGTTTGATACCTAAAGAAACCTAGTGTACTGAATTAATATTAATTCTGCATTAATGCAGATAGTATTCAAGACGGGTTGTGCTGAAATTCAGATTTAGAGCTGAATCGGAGCCAAAAACGCTGAAATGATTCTTAAGAGAATCCCATTAGGAGCTAAATTGCAGCGAATAGTGTTGTAATAACACTAAGTGCTAGTCACCATAGAAAAAAGCGTTAGTTCAGAAATTACAAGCATTTATCCAGCTATCTAAATAGGCAGAGTTATGATCACCTAACTAAACACATTGATTATATCTTAAAACCGAAAACTTGTTAAGATTTAAATAGCGCGATAACTTCAAAAATTAAAGGCCAATAACAAAAACCATGCCTACAAGGTTAACCGTCAGGAAGAGAAAACTCACAGGCGTCGGCAAGTAACGCAAACATTTGAAAGGGCCGCTCCGTAATTCCTATTTCTACAATAATTGGTATGTCTCGTAGACCATATAAACCCTGCCTTTTACCTTAAATTTTGATATACAGATATGCTTCTTATGGATCACTGAGTATTGCTCCAGCAAAAATGAGCTCTGCTTCACAATATTTTTTTATTTATAGCTTGATTCCACACATTATTTTGGTACAAGTATGGAATTTTCAGCATGTAATATTGGTAGCCCAAATTTAGCAGGCCAACCATTTGATATCGACTGCGCGTCGGCCGGGGATCTAACCCCGGACCATTACTATTTCCAAATGTTGGAAATCGCACCACGCCATTTGGACTTCGAGATAATATCTCTTTAAATTATAAACTCTACAGGAAATAGGTAATTTTGTTAGCAGGCAATAAAAATAACAACTAATACAGCCCAAATGATGGTCCAGAAATGAAGAAGTCGGTACCATATGGAGCTCTCAGGACCTGACAAAGGGCGTTGCCTCCGTAATTTCTGCAAACTTATTAAGCTATAGATGCTCACCTATGCATCATCGTCACCTAGTATATTGTCCTGTAGCCTGTGGTGTCTCGTGAACCAACTATGTGTACGTGGTCAATTTTCATAGGA